GTAGAGTGCTCTATCAATCGACACACGAGAAATGCTGTGAATGAGACTCTAAGCAACACGATGAAAAACGGAATAGAATTTTGGAGTGCTACTGAACAAAGTAGCCGTAGGAGTAAAGTGACTGGGTGTTTTGAGCGTTGTCTTAAAATGACTAGTTTACCTATGTTGTCTGTAAAATGACTAGTTTACCTTAATTGTCTTAAAAATGACTATTTCGTCAGTGATGTTTGGGTAAAAGATGACTCACCGTGTGCAAGGAGGCAAATGATGAGTTCGGATTGGGCAGTAAGATGTACATGGACAGTCTGTTCCCATCAAATGGCAGTTCAATGACCTCTGTGTTGTGGTGGTGGCATACCTGCAAGGTCAAAGTTCATGATACAGTTGCTGTATTCAGTAGAGATAGAGTTACCTCTAGACAGTAAAGTTACCTATATACAGAAGTTACTTCTAGCCAGAAGAGTTACCTCTAGATAGAACAGTTACCTCTGGATGGCAGTAGCATCCCATACGAATAATACCTACACACACACACACACACATGACACAAACATACAAACACACCCACGTGCCTGATGCAGAGTTTCTTCCAGGCATCTCTTCGGGGGGGGCAAAGCCCCCCCCCCCCCCTCGAAAAATTTTTACCGCCCCCCCCCCCCGAACGAAATGAAATTTATATAATTTATATAGAAAATATATACCTTTAACAGTGTCCGCCCCCCCCCCCCCCCCCGAAGAAAGTTTACCGCCCCCCCCCGAAAATTTCAAGTGCCCCCCGGAGAAAAAAGTCTGGAAGAGACACTGGCCTGATGAATATTCAAACTCTATTGTAGCTAATTCATTTATACTAATGGAGTAAACCCGTGAAATTTATTACTATCTTCGACACCAACAATAAATATATATTCCTTTTAATATTAGTTTTCCCTACCAATTTTTTTTAAAAATAATTTTTTATTGGCTGTCCTACACAACTATCATTTCTTTTTTATAGCTATAAACATTGTCAATTTTTAAGCTTTGTTGAGGAAACGGAAATAAAGTACCAGTTCCGGTTACCCGAAATCGCTCAAAATTTATAAGAAACCTACATTTATTTTTAAATGAAATTTCGTCCAACTAACTGAAAGGGTTTTCAATTTATAGTTTTCGTACATAGACACATACAGACAAGATTGCAAGTCTAAGTATTTCCCACCCAGAAAGGTTTAAAAGTCTGGATTTGTTAAAATTTCGATATTTTGTGTATGTGTGTGTAGCATGATTACAATACTTTCACTTATGCCTCTATTCCGTATACGAGAAAGTAAAAAATCCACTTGGGAACTTACTTGAGGTTTTTGGTCATGGTCATGGTAGGAATCTGCTGGACCCCACTACTGACCGAGTTAAACGGCTGGTCTGACGTCATGGACTCCGTGAACCGGTGCCTCCAGGTGGCGTTCATGTAGATGGCGTTAATGAGGATCATGAAGGTGCTGGGCGTGACGTCACTGGCCGCCAGGAGGTCGGTGATCTTCCCGCGGGTGGCGTTAGACACCCACGCGTTGATGGGGGCGGCCGGGCCGTCTGGGTGGGTCATGTCGAACTTTTCGACCTTGGCATTGTAGGACTGCTGCAGGCCACGCCTACACACAGGGAGACAGGCTCATGTGGATTAGACGTACCGTATGTTTGCTTCTTTAACCTTTATATCCTAGATTGTATGTTAGTCTGTGTTTAGCGTCACTGCCACATTGAAGTTAATGTTTATCCAAAAGTTACAGCAAAGATATAACCTTTACCTAAAAGTCCATACCAAGTACCTGTTTATCTGTAGGTCTTACCAAGACCCTTTCGTTTACCTGAAGGTGCTACTAACGACCTTATATTTACATAAGGGTTCCACTAAAGACCTATGCTTACCCTAAGGTCTCGGCAAAGACTTTTTAAACCTGAAGGTCCAGCCAATAACCAAAAGTTTACCCGAAGGTCACACCAAGATTTAAAGTTTAGCTGTAGGTCACACCTAAAACCTAACGTTTATCTTATATTCACAACGGGACTGAAAGTTTACCTGAAGGTCCCACCAAAGAACTAACGTTTACCTGAAGGTCCCACCAAAGACCTGAAGTTTACCTGAAGGTCCCACCAAAAACCTAAACTTTACTTGAAGGTCCCACCAAAGACCTAAAGTTTACCTGAAGGTCCCACCAAAGACCTGAAGTTTACCTGAAGGTCCCACCAAAAACCTAAAGTTTACTTGAAGGTCCCACCAAAGACCTGAAGTTTACCTGAAGGTCCCACCAAAGAGCTAAAGTTTACCTGAAGCTGTTGTGTAGGTGAGCCCCAGCCTTGACGAAAACTCCGTTAGCGTTAGTCAGGTTGACTCGACCGTTGATGTTGGACAGGGAGGTCAGCAAGGTCTTGTAGGCTGCGTGGACCCTGTTCTTGGGTAGGCCGGCCTGGCGTAAACCTGAGCAAGCAGAAACTCAACCGTTTCTTCCAATACAGACAGCAGCATAAATATATTACGTCATTTGTCTATTTTTCTATGCAAAAAGGGGAGGGGCAGTAGCGTACGCAGGGGGGGGAGCAGGGGGAGCGGCCGCTCCCCCTCTGGCCATTTTCAGCAAAGTGGCGCCTTTTTGGAAAATTTTTAAACTCAAAGTTTTAAACAATGATATTTGTTAAAAAAATATTTTTGGTCGGCACATCTATGTAAATCACAAGATTTCTTTTCATGCAGCAATTAAGCATTATTGTACTAGTCTAGTAGTGTCTACGTTTACAACACGTATTAACAGCTGCATCAGTTTGCCATTCTAAAAATAACCATTACGATGCATTGGAATTTTTTAAAATCCTCTACCGGTAGTACCACTTGGCAAGAGGGGTGTTAAGTTTAAGGCAACTATATAATGTATTTGCTTACGAATAATTGCATTAGAAAATGTTATACATAAAACTTTACACATAATTACTTTATCTATACAGTTTGAATCGTGTGATTAATTTTTAAAAAATTACAATACAGAAACAAATACAACTGATGTGGCACCTCTATTTAAATTTACTTATGGGCAAGCTGCGTAGCGGTGGGGAAATTTTTACACGTCAACAACGTCATTGTCATCACGATGAAGTAGTAGTATTCTTACAATTTGGGCGATAGTGATACGATTACAAATTATATGAAACAGTTACAACCCCCCCCCCCCCCCTCCCCCATGGACCCCTCTGTAAAAACAATATTGTCATAATACCACTGCTACTTATTTAAATCTATTTCTGAATCAGTATACATGTGTAATATATATGTATGTTTAGAACAGTCATCTAAAAACTGACGCTATGTTCACTCTGAGTTGGTTATCTCCCCACCCCACACCTCACCACCACAATTGTGTAGAGCGACATTAATGTCACACCTAGGTATACACTGGGTTGGCTAATTGACCTAAAGTGACTGGACAGTAAAAAGGTGTGTGAGCAATATGGTGATCTACCCCATACCTATCACTATGTTAAAAATATATCTTTAAGGAACACAAAGAAGCAGTAGTTAATAAAAAAATATGATCTGAACTAAATGACCGACATTTAGTTAAATGTAGGCTGTTATTTCGAATGTTTTACTATTAAATTGAAAAGCGTAGTTTTATACCAACTCTGATTTCAAAAACTTTCATTATGCTGTAATACTTTAGCATTTATGATGACGATATATTTCATTCTGATTATAGACAAAAACATTTTGTTAAAACGAATAGTTTTAAACAATTTCATTATATTCTAAAGTAATTATTTATTTGTTTTGACATTTATAATTAAATGTGTAGATATATACATATTTATATTAAGAAAGTGATTATTTCCCCTATTTCACTTGTCTTAAAAAATTTCCCAGGAATTATTATGTAAGAATTTTTTTACAAGAATTACAAAACAGATTGTGTTACTTTCATTGTTTTTGGTTGTAGTGTGTGTATATTTTGTTTGTTTTTTGTTTAGATTGATACATTTTTTGTTTTGTCAGCCTACATTGTGTGTTTTTTCTTATTTCTTCAGAGTGCTACTTTCAATTTATTTTACATCATAGCGAAGTAATGACATACAGCTAGTAATTATATATATATATATATATATATATATATATATATATATATATATATATATATATATATATATATATATATATATATATATATATATATATATATATATATATATATATATATATATAATACACGTATATGGAACGTGTTAAAAATTCGGCGCCTTTTTTTGCTCTTTTCGCTCCCCCTACAACGAAAACCTGGATACGCCTCTGGGGAGGGGGGTAATCGTCCATCAATGACGTCACGTTTTTACCCTAAAATCTCCTCCCTATCCTCCCTTACAACTTTTGTAAACAGGTTGAAAAGATGTCAGCTCATAATGCACTAGGCCCCCCCCCCCTCCCCCCACTGCGACTTACCGAAGGCAATCATCTCGTCTTTTTGTATCTAACTTGGCGCCCCGTTTACCCCGATCACCTGACTACGACCCCCCCCCCACCCCCCGCGACTTACCGAGGGCGTTCATCATCTCATTCTCTGTGTCGCGCTTGGCGCCCATCATGGTCATGGCGAGGGCCGTGTGGGCGCTGTGGGGCGACAGCACCGTGTTGGAGGAAAGGTCAGGGTGCAAGGTCATGAACAGGTCCACGGCGAACCTCGAGCTGGCGGTGGCCAGACGGTCTGTGTTGGATAGCCTGGGGGGTCGGGCTGGACGGGCTGTACGGGTTCCTGGTCTTGCGGTCGTCCTTCGTAGTCTGCTAAAATGTTCAGGCGAAATGATGTTTACATGGGATGATGTTGAGGCGAGAAGATGGTGAGACGAAATGATGTTCACATAAGATGGTGTTGAGACGATATGGAGACGAGAGCACGTTGTGACGGAATAATTTTGAGACAAAGAGTCAGATATTAAGATGAAAAAAATATTGAGACGAAATGATGCTAACACAAAACTATTTTGAGACGAGAGGGTTATTAGACGAGAATACTTGGAGACGAAAATTGTTAACGAAAAGATCTAAAGGAACAATAAATATAAATAAAGTTACACATTTTATGACATACATTTATAATTATTTGTTTTTGTTTTGCTAAGCAGCTAAAGCTGCCCTTAGAATTTGTTGTTTGAAAAAGATGCATGCCTGTAGGCACTTACCTTGCGTCGCTCACAACTGATAAAAAGAAAAAGGAATAAAATAATCTTTTTTTTTTGGTATAAATGAGAAAGTAAAATTGTACAACAATATTGCGTTAAAAAATTTGGGTGTAGCGTTTATGTATAATGTTATTTAGAATAGTAATAGACCAAATAGATCTGCATGCTTTTAGACTTACACTGTATCTTAATTCAAGCAAAATATGTTGCATGAAATATAACCAAATAAACAAAATCAAAATAGAATAACATGTTTTATTTTCAAAAGTTTTGCTATATTATAAAAATACGAATATCAACATTTTTCTCCTTAAATACCCAACGAATTTATAAGAAATTCTTAAAACAATTAACTCAACAATATTCAAAAGTTGCCAGTTAAAAATGTTTTAAACTTACCAAAGAACAACAACCCCAGTAAGCACAGGGACGCAACTGTCGTAAACGTCTTCATCTTGTCTGAGGAAAAAAAATTCTTCTAATAACGATTTTCATAAGATATTTCACAGAGGTCAAATTAATATCCGTGCTATCATTTATTCACATTTGAACATAAATAACATATTATAGTTTTAATGAACATATTCTTTATATGTATTTGTATCCGTCGTTTGTAGACCTTTATATACTTTAATACTAATGATGTATAGTTTGTTGACTATAGAATATGTAACCTACCAGATGTTAGAAATGTTGCGACTCGTAGTACCACGGGAATGTTTCTAATTCTTTAACAACAAAATATATTTAACAGGCCACTTGTAAGACTTAACCTAATTTTTTTAAAGGGCCACTTCTAATTAGACAAAAACTAACAAAAACAAGGAAAGGGTTGGAGCGTGAGATTAGGACTGGGGCACTTGTGAGGGATGGTGGATATATGAAGGATGGTGGATATATGAAGGATTGTGGATATATGAAGGATGGTGGATATATGAAGGATGGTGGATATATGAAGGATGGTGGATATATGAAGGATGGTGGATATATGAAGGATGGTGGATATATGAAGGATGGTGGATATACTGTAGGAGGGTGGATATATGAAGGAGGGTGGATATATGAAGGATGGTGGATATACGAAGGATGGTGGATATATGAAGGATAGTGGATTAATGAAGGATGGTGGATATATGAAGGATGGTGGATATACTGTAGGAGGGTGGATATATGAAGGATGGTGGATATATGAGGAATGGTGGATATATGAAGGATGGTGGATATAGTGAAGTCTGGTGGATATATGAAGGATGGTGGATATACTGAAGGATGGTGGATATATGAAGGATGGTGGATATACTAAAAGATGGTGGATATACTGATGTTTGGTGGGTATACCGAAGTTTGGTGGATATTCTGAAAGATGGTGGATATATGAATGATGGTTGATATATATTTGGTGGATATACTGAAGTTGTGGATACATGTGGATAAAAAGGGTTAGATTTGGAAAATTGACAAAAGAAATAGTATCTGTCGTTTAATTGATATGTTGTTGTATGTAAACAGAAAGTTGGTTAAATTAATATGTAAAACAGATTAAAAAATCATCGTGACCTTGTGAAATTTAAAACCTACTTACTCAGCGGAAATAAATGTTTTGAAAGTACACAACAGTTTATAAGTGCACTTGTTTATGTTGAAAACAACAAGTAGGCTTCTTCATCGTGTGAAATAGAAATGTGAGGATACAGCTGCAGATATGTTTTGAGAGTATATATATATATATATATATATATATATATATATATATATATATATATATATATATATATATATATATATATATATAGGCCTACATATAGATATATATACATATATATATATATATATATATATATATACATATATATATATATATATATATATATATATATATATATATATATATATATATATATATATATATATATATATATATATATATATATATATATATATATGTATATATATATATATGTATATATATATATATGTATATATATATGTATATATATATATATATATATATATATATATATATATATATATATATATATATATATAGGCCTATATATATATATATATATATATATATATATATATATATATATATATATATATATATATATATATATATATATATATATATATATATATATATATATATATGTATATAGCTCTTCTTTTTTGTTGTCCATCCGGTTTTATTAAAACCCCTCCTAACGCCCACCTGCATAAGCTACAGAAGTGTGGGTGTGTGTACGGGGGGGTGTCCTTTGATTTTTACAAAACGCATAGGTGCCGCCCCCTCTGTAGTGCTACCTATTTGTGCTGTAAACCTGTGTTCCCCTTCCTTGGCGCCGCGGCAACTTGGACGCTACTTTGTAAAACATGGGGAAAAAATGATATAGTCACACAAGGCTCTACATCAAGGCGGGGAGATAATTGGTTAAAAAATTTTCAGTGAGTTATGTCAACATGAGTCGTTCATAACTCGTCACGATTTTTACTTCCATCATCAGCACACAGCGTCACAAAATGTCAGACCCCCCCCCCCAACAAAAAAAAAAACAGTACAATTTAGTTTTTAAAATTGCTCACATACTTCCGAACCCTCCCCCTCCCTCCCTCAGGATAGGAGTCTGACGTCATTTATGGAAGACCTGATATTCAGAGACCTAGATCTAGGTGATGTTTAACGTTTTACTCCAGATCTGAAAAATTTAAATAGTCTAGATATATTTTAGTAGGTTTTTTAAAATGTATTTTTTAGTTAGCATTGAACGAGCCATGAGATGGAGAAAGTGTTATCTTAGTCGATACAATTTTGTAAAAGTGTTTTTTTTTTATTGTTAATGTAGTTGCAATGATTTTTAAAAAATTTCTTTTTTTTTTAAACGCATCGATTGACAAAAGCTATTTGAATAAAAAATTTGGCAATATTACGAAAATTTTATCTGGCATTAGCTAACCATCTTTGAGAAATTAAAATACAATGGCTGCGCTACAGTTCGCCGGGGCTCCGCGAGAAAAACTAACAGCGCTCGAAAAAATTGAAAAAGATATTGCTACAGCACTACAAACCGCAGGTAATTTAATAATATCTTGTAAAAGCATTCCAGTAACTATTCGCTTCGTAATAAATTATTAAATACATGTCTAGGCCTACTCGGTTCTGATGCGGTATCTCCGGCACACTCTCTGACTCGACCTCAACACTCAACACAAAATGTGTTGGTAAAGTAAAATGATAGTAAAATCAAAATGTGAAATATGAAAATTTAATTGGTAAAGTGGTACTCAAAGAAGAAAAATAAATTGAAGTAACTATCGTAAGATACTTCTGCTGGCCAGTCCATATGCTGGCAGATTAAAATGTGAAATGCAATTGGCCAATGGCCTTAAAAATAAAATAGCTGCGCAAAGGGCTCAAATTGCCCTTAATTAATAATTAATTTTAATAGCTGCTCAATGACTCAATGTAGTTAGTCTCATATAAATTCAATTTTCTTCAAATTATAAAAAGAATAGCATATAATTGTAGAGCTTTAAAAATGCAATCCAACAGTACCAATTTTATTAATTTAGCATAATCGGTTGATTAAATATAATTTTTTTAGTGTCGCAAATAAAATATATAGAAACGCGACCAAAAACGCAGGTAAAAAGTCAAATTCACTTGTTTTAAAGCTAGTAAGCAAGAAAAGACATGATCAGGGATGTGACTCTTCCGAATTTTAGCGGAAATCCGATTTTTCCGTTTCAGTTGCGATTTTCCTCCGCTGATTTAATTTTCGCCGAATTTTTCGCCGATTTTTTACGAAGTTTTAAAAATTAGGAAAAAAAAAAACGGAAATGTCTTCTACGGAAAGGGCCGACATGCTCATTCCACTTATTTGTATTTAAATCGACAACTACTGTACTTTGGTCAAACGGACACGCGAATATGCGCATTTCTTTTCGATTGGTCGATTGCGCTAGGTCTGACGGTGCTAGATCAAGATTAAATGTAGATTAAGATTCGGAATTTCAGCGGACTTTCGAATTTTTCAAAGCACACTTTATTTAGCCCAAATTTTCCGCTGATATTTTCAGTTAACTATTTAACAAAAACACGGAAAAGGTAATCTAAAATAATGCAGTTATTTAATTAAAACTTACATCTCTTAAGCCTGGTAATCTAGCTATCGATATAGCCTAATTTACCTATCGGTATTTTAACCCGCCTAAATCTAGAGTTTCTCTCTGATTCTATTTTATTTCGCAATCTCAAATTCATATTGAAATCCTTGCAAAAGGTGACTATGAGGACTAGACTAACCCGCTCCATCTCGTAGCAACGGTGGCTCTTGTGACCTCACCTTGACCCCAAGTACGTTTTCGGTACTGCTTGTGGAAAAAAAAATGACGTCACAGTCAATTTCTAATAGCTGTTCCTGCAATACGTATGCTTCGTAGGTCTACAGATAAAAAATATACTAAACTCAACGTGGCTACGACCATGTCTTATTTGTGGAAGAAAAAATACGTTCAGACTGTGGGGGGAGTCTGGCTTTTGTAGGAGAGAGGGGAGGTAAATATCGTAAAAAAACACCGTGGATGACCCCTAACAATTTACAGCTATTCCTAAAAAACAAAAAATATCGATGTAGCTTGGTTATCATAATGAAATTGGTTCACACGTCAGACCCTTTCTAATTTTAGCTAACCTGGTCCATTTCATTTTTCCATCACATGAACCTAAAACTTTCAAATTGTAACTAATCTTAATCTAGGGTCTTTACAGTTGAAGACAAATATTTTTACCAATCCAATCTTTAAAAGAATATATATTAGGCTTTTGGCCCCCTATTTAAAACAGGGGTACATCTAGAATCTACACTAGATTAGTACAGATTAAATTAGCTTAATGGTAAAATAAAACTTAATTGCTACTTTTGTTACATTGTAATTTTTAAAAAGTTGTTTATAAGGTAAACATTAAATTGCAATTAGACTAGACTTTCAATGTTATTTTAGAGTAACATAAACTTCTTGTATTTAAAATATTAACTTCATTAAACAATTAATTAGTACAGTAACAGTATGAAGCTGCTTAACTGCGGTATGAAGCTGCTTAACCGCGATAAAAAGTAGATAAAACATATTGAGTTATTATCCGAAAAAAAATTTCCTAATTTTTTTTCCTGGTCTGGTCACATCCCTGCATGATTCTTTCTTACTATTGAAATCAGTTTGCTTATACCTACATTTTTTTACACCAAGGTGAAAGTAAATAGTTTGTATAAATTTATAAAATGCCATTTAAATAATTTATTGTATGTTTTGTGATGAATTTTCAATTGGAAAATACCGCATTTGGAAGCAGAAAGGTAAATTCTACAGAACAGATGTTGTTTGGAATGTTATAGATTATAGATCTAGGCCTATATCAAAATGTTTAATAAAATTCAATTAGAGTCCACCCATTTCTGATGGGTATCTGATATACATTGGGGAAATTAAAGGTAAAAAGTAAAGGCGGCTGTGAATATCGCTGACCACACGGACAATCACTTCATATGCCGAGGTCAAGAAACATTAACTCTACTTCATCTGCCAAATAGATTGCTTTGTCTACAGAGGAATCTTAATTAATGATTACAGGGGCCTAATAAAATTGAGTTATGTTTGTAAAAACAGTAGGCCTAAGCTTTAAAAACTTATTTTGGTCAATATCGGAAAAAATAAAAATCTTTTCGACTAAATGGGTTGAAAAAAGCTTTGAATTTGTTTCATTGTTTGTTATTATATCTTGTAGTATTTAGAATTGAAGCTTTCTTTCTTAATTACAAGTTGTATTAATTTCAAACCTTAATGTAATTTCTTTTTAATTCAGTATTAGCCTAAATGTAAGGTAGGCTACAGAATTCAGATATTACCTATGGTTTTGTGATTTTTATATGTTTATAACATTTGTGTTTATGAAATGAACTAATGAAGTTATCAAGCAAACTGTTTTATTATTATTTTAATAGGCCTGCAAGTTATAATAATAAGTACAAAATATAGATATCTAATCACTAGATCTAGGTCTAAGTTTAAGAAAAAACTGCCAAAAGGGTTTGAAATACTTAAATATAGTACTAAAAGTAGCTATGTTTTGAAAAAAAAAATATCTTAAACTGGAGACATTCAATTTAAAAGTCATTATAAAAACTCCACGATCTAGATTTATTTCTAGATCTCTAGTAAGAATACAGATTTACAGGCTTTCCCATCAGTATCAATGTACTATCTTAGCTATGTGGGAGGTCAGTACGAGTTCACTGGAAAAAAATCGGATCTGCCGTAGGGGGGTGGGTTTAGTGCGCAAATGCTCCTGACCGATTGCCAAAAGGTACAGAAATTCTAAAGATACATTTTAAAAGAAAAATGGACGGCTGAACTGCAGTTATCAAAATATCTGTGTAAGTAGAAGTATAAATAATAATATTTTACACAAATATAGCTGTCTTTTGCTAAATCTAGCTCAATTTCCACGAAAATCGCATCCGGTCGCAATAATTTTTATATCAGCTTGTCGGCCATTCAACGATCTATCACGTGTAGCAGACGCCAAACAGATTTACCCGTATGGTATTGCGCGAATGCTATTTTTAGCAACAGTGCCGAGACGCGGTAGAAAAAAACGAACTAGAAAGTGGCCATAAAAAAGCGGGTCAGGGGAGGTAATTCAACTCGCATTATGAGACTAGCTACTCAATGGTCTCAAATTAACCTTTTATGATAAAACTAACTGTACTTTGTGGTTGAGTGTTTGCTCTTCGGGCAGATCTTCCGAGATTGAGGGTTAAATTCTAACTTTTAGGCCTCTAATACAGTTGACCTGTAGTATAGTAATAGTGATATCAATTATACAGTATATCGAGATCTACTCTGTAAATAAAGTATAAAATGGTTTTTTTAAAAATCTATTTTAATAGCCTATTTTAAAGTTTTTATCGTTTTAATCCCTGTCCGATCAAGATAACACATAGGTCTGGTCAACGAACATTTAGATGACAAGAAAAATCAGGTCACTCTAGCACTGTTTTCTGTAAACATACACATGTGCATCTTCTTCCGACTACAAATCAGCTACAAATAAATCAACAAAATTTAAATTAAGGCTATGTTATACACATAAGCTAATCTACTAATCTTCAATAATCCTACATCTACAAATTAAACATTTAATCTAATCCAAATAGTTATTTTACCATCTTCATATAAATATTTCTTTCACGATTTCTTCCAAAGTCTTTACAGCATCCACTGCACATATTCTTAGCAGTCATCCTATGCACGTCATCCACATTTCTACTTACACTTTTAGTGTCAACATAAAATGGCACTTTTAGTAGGCCTAACAAATGTATTTCCAATTAAATTAATGTGCATGGCATTTGGTAAACTGCAAAAAAAAATAAAGTGATTAATTACATTATGCAATTTTTTTTCCTTTTCAAGTTTAATGTCTTGTGTTATGTTTTATTAACACCCTTTCATGCTTATTTTTACTTCAGGCTTCTCTCTCACTCTCTACTAGTAATTTTTAGCTAGGCATTATTTTTTATGTTAGAGTTTTTCAACATTACTCTCAAAATTCTGTATCTTTTTTTTTTATAAAATTTCTTACTAAACTTTTATATGTTCATGTTTAAAATAATGCACAATTGAAAGCAAAACCCATTTCTTAATCAATTACTGGGCCATATTGTTAGGAGTTTCTTTTCATAGTAATTCAACTCACTTTACATTGAAGTGATATTTTCAAATCACACGTGACTATAAATCATTCAACAATGGTAAAAATCATTTTGAGATACATACTATATAAAAATTAATAAATAACTACAGATACTTTCTGAAAATAATTTTTGGATTCTTTCCCTTTAATACTGTTTCAATTGAAACTTATTGACTGTTCACATTTATTGACTTGGTATTCTGTACCTGCCAACAACACTCAGTAAATTCCAAAATTATTTGAATTCTTCTTCATTGTTATCATTTGACTGAAGAGAAAGCTCTGCCCTTAAGTATTAAAAATTTGGTGTTGTAGGTTCTTTTGAAACTGTAACAAACATCTCCTCTGTATGTTGTAGTGTTTTTTTTTTTGTTTTTTTTTTTATGGCTACCCTGACCCTAACCTTATCACTGACCCTAACACAATCCTAATATAATAACTTGATATTAAACTGTGTTAATTACTGTCTATAAAACATCTAAACGTTGTTTTGTTGTTGTTTTGGTGGTATTTTGAAAATTGTTTATATTTCAGGCCAGGCCCTCCAGGAACTCTCTAAAGACAAACCAGCTCTAAAACATGTCGAGGGGCACACAACAAACTTCCTGAAAACATTGCAAGAAATTGAGAATGGACTGAGCCAGCAAATCAGTTATTTAAGTCAGGTTACAACCAGTGAGTATGATATTACATGTTCTTCTAAATTTGTTAGTGGTACGTTTGTTCTTCGTAAGTGTGATGTGACGACAAGTTTTTTAATTACTTATCGTAGAGAAAATTTTCCTTACAAAAAGTGAAGATTTCCATATTTTTGTCTCATAATTATATTGATTAATTTATACTTGAAAAACAAATGCCCCTAATTTAAAAACCATACTAATGTCCCTTACTTTTGTACTTGGTCATAAAAAGTTTGTAAATGTTATGTAATGATTGCTTACTCCTAAATATGTTAGTAGAATCTAGACCTATGCTTAAGCCATTATTCTACAACCATTTATTTATAAAAATTCATCAAATTTGTATGCAAGTGGTTTTAAAAACAGTCTTGGTGATAGTTTTTAGATCATAAAATGTAATTAATAAATAAGAAAATACTTTCAGGTCAGCCTCATGAGGGCTCCTCCTATGCATCACAGAAGGACCTGCAGATGGCCATGCACAGGTCTGAGCATGTCAAAAGTCGTCTGAGTGAGCTGGAGAAGATTCGCCAAGAACACTTGAGGCAGAAGCATGTCATACGCACATACTCCATGCCAGAGCAGCAGGTCCAGCAGCCCCACACACCCCAGCAGCCACATACGCCTCAGCCCCAACAGCAGCAGAAACAGCGTGATCAGCAAAGAGAACAGCAAGCCCAGTTGTAGTGACCTGCTCTTCCATTCTCTACACTTGCTGTCTGCTAAGACTTATAAGCTATAGGCAGATATAGGGATTAAATTAATATGATGGAGTCAGCAATGCCTACAGCTAGTCACCTAGAAATGGCGTGTCATTATCCATGTGCTATTCAACATAGAATGAACTATGCTTCTAGATGATATCTTACCTAAATATAAAGGGCTGCCGTGGTACTGACTTATCTGGTATGATCATTGAAAAATGTTTGTGGATACTTTAACTGAACTTGAAAAACTTATTTTGTGTTATGGTACTACTTGAAGAAAGTTGAAAACTGATAACACAGTTTTCTTTAAGACAAGCAGAATGTTGTATAATTATACATAGGAAGTCATCTGTCATGTCTTCGTACATAATTTATAGAAGATACACATTTACTGCCTTATTATAGAATGTACTATACCTTTGATAAAATCTGTGTGGTACTAATTCTGGCTCACTTTAGTTGTGTAAAAAGTATTGAATCCCCAGACAGCTTGACTCAGAATTTGTTTGCATGTGAGTTATTTGATTGGAGAATGTTTAACACATTTTACACAATCAATTTTATAACAAACAAAACAAAATTGTTGTAAATAAATGTACAGGGGTAATATTGGTACACTTATGTTATAAATTTGGTCATTGAAAATATCAATGTTGTTTAATATGTTTTAATATTGAAGTTTTTAAAAGAATTAGTGTATGTAAATAAAATATATGAATATATAAGTTTACTCTTCTTTTTTTTGCATGTGATTGTCTTTCTGTATATGTTGTCTTAAAATTTACTTGAGTAATTTAAAGTCTTAATTTTACTACCATAGTTTTGTGAATAGTATTAGTAAGAGTATTATTTTTTAAATCATGTCTCAATGCTCCTCTGCAAACTAAGTTATGTCTTCTGCTAAAAAGGAACTTAAGGACCTCCTGAAAGAATTCTTTTAAGAAGTTGTGTATCATATCTATGGGTGGCAGATATGTGAAAGCAGGAGGGGGGGGGGATAACTCTACCATAGGAACTGGATGTGAACAGAATGTACAGAAAAATGCACAAGCCTGGAGGATTAGTGATATGTTGCTTTGTATTGATCTCTATGGGCAGGTTGGCTGTATGTTGATGATCTATATGGCCAGGTTGGCTGTGTGTTGATGATCTCTATGGGCAGGTTGGCTGTGTGTTGATGATCTCTATGGTCAGGTTGGTTGTGTGTTGATGATCTTTATGGACAGGTTGGCTGTGTGTTGATGATCTCTATGGGCAGGTTGGCTGTGTGTTGATGATCTCTATGGCTAGGTTGGCTGTGTGTTGATCTCTATGGCCAGGTTGGCTGTGTGTTGATGTTCTCTATGGCCAGGTTGGCTGTGTGTTGATTATCTCTATGGGCAGGTTGACTGTATGTTGTTGATCTCTATGGCCAGGTTGGCTGTGTGTTGATGATCTCTATGGCCAGGTTGGCTGTGTGTTGATCTCTATGGGCAGGTTGGCTGTTTGTTGATGATCTCTATGGCCAGGTTGGCTGTGTGTTGATCTCTATGGGCAGGTTGGCTGTGTGTTGATGATCTCTATGGGCAGGTTGGCTGTGTGTTGATGATCTCTATGGCCAGGTTGGCTGTGTGTTGATTATCTCTATGGGCAGGTTGGCTGTGTGTTGATGATCTCTATGGGCAGGTTGGCTGTGTGTTGATGATCTCTATGGCCAGGTTGGCTGTGTGTTGATGATCTCTATGGCCAGGTTGGCTGTGTGTTGATCTCTATGGCCAGGTTGGCTGTGTGTTGATGATCTCTATGGGCAGGTTGGCTGTGTGTTGATGATCTCTATGGCCAGGTTGGCTGTGTGTTGATGATCTCTATGGCCAGGTTGGCTGTGTGTTGATCTCTATGGCCAGGTTGGCTGTGTGTTGATGATCTCTATGGCCAGGTTGGCTGTGTGTTGATGATCTCTATGGTCAGGTTGGCTGTGTATTGATGATCTCTATGGCCAGGTTGGCTGTGTGTTGATGATCTCTATGGCCAGGTTGGCTGTGTGTTGATGATCTCTATGGGCAGGTTGGCTGTGTGTTGATGATCTCTATGGGCAGGTTGGCTGTGTGTTGATGATCTCTATGACCAGGTTGGCTGTGTGTTGATGATCTCTATGGCCAGGTTGGCTGTGTGTTGATGATCTCTATGGCCAGGTTGGCTGTGTGTTGATGATCTCTATGACCAGGTTGGCTGTGTGTTGATGATCTCTATGGGCAGGTTGGCTGTGTGTTGATGATCTCTATGGGCAGGTTGGCTGTGTGTTGATGATCTTTATGGGCAGGTTGGCTGTGTGTTGATGATCTCTATGGCCAGGTTGGCTATATGTTGATGATCTCTATGGGCAGGTTGGCTGTGTGTTGATGATCTCTATGGGCAGGTTGGCTGTGTGTTGATCTCTATGGGCAGGTTGGCTGTGTGTTGTTGATCTCTATAGCCAGGTTGACTATGTGTTGTTGATCTCTATGGCCAGGTTGGCTGTGTGTTGTTGATCCCTATGACCAGGTTGGCTGTGTGTTGTTGATCTCTATAGCCAGGTTGACTATGTGTTGTTGATCTCTATGGCCAGGTTGGCTGTGTGTTGTTGATCTCTATAGCCAGGTTGACTATGTGTTGATGATCTCTATGGGCAGGTTGGCTGTGTGTTGTTGATCCCTATGACCAGGTTGGCTGTGTGTTGTTGATCTCTATGGCCAGGTTGGCTGTGTGTTGTTGATCTCTATAGCCAGGTTGACTATGTGTTGTTGATCTCTATGGCCAGGTTGGCTGTGTGTTGTTGATCTCTATAGCCAGGTTGACTATGTGTTGATGATCTCTATGGGCAGGTTGGCTGTGTGTTGTTGATCTCTATGACCAGGTTGGCTGTGTGTTGTTGATCTCTATGGCCAGGTTGGCTGTGTGTTGATGATCTCTATGGGCAGGTTGGCTGTGTGTTGTTGATCCCTATGACCAGGTTGGCTGTGTGTTGTTGATCTCTATGGCCAGGTTGGCTGTGTGTTGTTGATCTCTATAGCCAGGTTGACTATGTGTTGTTGATCTCTATGGCCAGGTTGGCTGTGTGTTGATCTCTATGGCCAGGTTGGCTGTGTGTTGATGATCTCTATGGCCAGGTTGGCTGTGTGTTGATCTTTATGGGCAGGTTGGCTGTGTGTTGATGATCTCTATGGGCAGGTTGGCTGTGTGTTGATGATCTCTATGGCCAGGTTGGCTGTGTGTTGATATCTATGGCCAGGTTGGCTGTGTGTTGATGATCTCTATAGCCAGGTTGGCTGTATGTTGATGATCTCTATGGGCAGGTTGGCTGTATGTTGATGATCTCTATGGCCAGGTTGGCTGTGTGTTGTTGATCTCTATGGCCAGGTTGGCTGTGTGTTGATGATCTCTATGGGCAGGTTGGCTGTGTGTTGATGATCTCTATGGCCAGGTTGGCTGTGTGTTGATGATCTCTATGGGCAGGTTGGCTGTGTGTTGATGATCTCTATGGGCAGGTTGGCTGTGTGTTGTTGATCTCTATGGCCAGGTTGGCTGTGTGTTGATGATCTCTATGGCTAGGTTGGCTTTATGTTGATGATCTCTATGGGCAGGTTGGCTATATGTTGATGATCTCTATGGCCAGGTTGGCTGTGTGTTGATCTCTATGGCCAGGTTGGCTGTGTGTTGATGATCTCTATGGGCAGGTTGGCTGTGTGTTGATGATCTCTATGGCCAGGTTGGTTGTGTATTGATGATCTCTATGGCCAGGTTGGCTGTGTGTTGATGATCTCTATGGGCAGGTTGGCCCCATGTTGATAATCTCTATGGTCAGGCTTGCTTCAACTTTTACCCTAAAAACTGAATCAGCTCTACAAATTATGTAGCTCATCAACAAATGTATGGTTCATAATAAAACCATGATCTGCATCCAGCTTCTCTCTTAGTTGGAACATGTTACCTAAATTTCAGATAAAATTAAAGGCGGTTTTTAAAAAATGTAGACTTTTGAGCCAGTTCAGTTTCAAATCAACCATCACTTCTTCAATTTCTTCTTATTAGTTGTTACGTTTTGCTGTAACAAAGCTACCCCTGTAAGCAAATAAGGGGAACCTTCACTTTTGGAACTGTATTGTTATTAATTAAGTTTAAAGTTGGTGTATCATTTGTTAAGGTCTGTATATCAATAATGGCCTACAGTAAAAAGAGATGCTACCCCCACCAAAGCTGTGAATTTTAGTTTATGTGGAATCTAAAAGATTTTTTCTTTTTTCTATACTTAGATCTAACTTCTTTCACATTTTCTGAAAATGTTTTTTTTTTTAAATACAATTTATAGATTTCATTTTTAAATTATGTGTTTGATAAGGCCTAATTGTTTTATTTTATTATCATTTTATTCTCTTAACAAAAGTGCGAAATAAACATACTTTGCAGACCACAAGTAAAGAGAGTAGCTTCCCCTTGACATTATTATTATTATTTTCTGTCCGTTCCATTTCCTAGATTCATCTTTGGCATTTCTTTGGATTTCTGGTCTTGTGAACTTAGTCACTGGCTTTGTTGTTACATTGTTATGTTAATTAATGCAGTTTTATTCTAAAGGATTAAACACACCACAGGAAGATTATTATTAGCAAGGTAAGATAATTAATGTTGCAGTATTTTAAATAAATCGTTTAGCTATTAATTTTATTTTCAATATTTTGGATTTGTTGAGAAAATATTAAAAATAAAAATAAGAATTTTTGGCGACTTGATTTTGCGGTTGTCACCACACTGCCGCACCACAAGTGACCCCAGCCATTTGAATTGGAGTCAGCTGACAGTAATGTAAAGAGAAAAAAGTCTCAGAAACACAATAGGCCTATCTTTATCAATTAATTAATTTTACTTAGGCCTAGGCTTTTTACTAAAAGGCTTTTAGTAAGAGCGTGAGAGTGTCCACTTCACTACAAATAGCCATCAGAGGGCTATTCGTACTTCGCTATTTTTAGCCGACCAATCAAATTTATTTTTAAATTCATTGTTCTGCAGTTTATGTATTACTATGTATAAGATTCAAATTTTGTATCTCATCATAACTGTTCCATTGGTCGAAGTGGTTGTGCATTGGCTAGTTTGTTTTTGAGGCGTGAATTCAATTCACGCTGGCTCAGAGTTTTTTTTTTCTATTTTTTTGCTTTTTTTTTTAACTTTTACTTAACAATTAGGGTTAAGCATTAGGGTTAGGGTTAGATTTAGGGTTAGGGTTAGTGACAGTGAGATCTAAAAAATAATTAGTTCTAGATCTATACAGCATGTTAAAGATGAAAAAGGGAATTCAAGAATTAAAAACAATGCCTCACGCTGATTGGTCAGAGTACGAATAGCCTTCATAGGGCTATTTGTAGTTAAGTACGAATAGCCGCAGCCTTTAGTAACTTAGTTGAAGTTGCCTTAGTTTTAGGCTGCCCTCATGACGCTGTTTTTTTTTTGGTTTTTTTTTGTGATTAGAGAGTAGATCTAGATCTAACTATCACTAAATGACACTGAGTAACTTACGATTAATAGTAACTTAACTGTTAGATCTAGATCCACTACTTTTTTTGTATTAGTTAGATATAGATTGCCGTGCCGTAATCGATCATT